AAGGAGACCTACAACAGAAGTAGAGGTTGGAGTGACTGGCTTTGGAGACGGAGGAAGGGACCATGAGCCAAGGAGTGCAGGCAGCCTCTAGAAGCAGAAAAAGGCAAGGGAATGGATTCTTCCCTGGAGTTTCCAGAAGACATGCAGCACCGCTGACGCCTTGATTTTAATTGTTTTATTTCAGACTTCTGACCCTCAGAACGGTAAAATACTAATTTGTTTTGTTTTAAGCCTTAGTATTTGTAGTAATTTGTTACAGCAGCAATAGGAAGCTAATACAGAGCCCATGCAGTAATTTAAAATTTTTTGATTACTCTATTTTTCAGTTCTAATAGTTCCATTTGGTTCTTTATATTTTCTATTTCTTCACTGAGACTTTTCATCTTTTCATTAATTTCAAGAGTGTTCTTACTTACCCATGACATTTTTAGAATAGTTGCTTTAATGTCTTTTTCTGATAATTCAAGGATCTCTGGCATTTAAGCAATGGTGTTGGCTGATTTTTTTTTTTTTTCACATGTAAATTGAGATTTCCTGGTTCTTCATATGCCAAGTAATTTTGGATTGTATCCTGGACATATGAGATCATGGATCTTGTGTAAACCCTATTGAAAATGTTGATATTTTTGTGTTAGTAGGCCATTGACTTAGTTTGGTTCATGTCACCAGTTCTGACCAACCTGTGGATTGTATTTTCAACATCAGTTCCCTTTTCAGTCTTTGCAGTGATATTCAGATCTACTGCATATATGTGCCACCCAGTGGCCAGTCTGAGACCCAGGTGATGATCCCTCTCTTAGTGCAATTGTAAGTCTATGGTATGCTATTTAGGGTCAGATCCATGCATGTACAATTGGGAGATGATCTCAAGAGTTCATAAAACTCTATGGTGTAATCTTCCTGAACTCCTTTCTCAGGTTACTCAAGTTAGCCTAAAATAATACTCTAGACAAAGTAGCATGCATATATTCTACCTGCCATTGACGAGCAGAAGATGTCCGTATCAAATGGCACTGATTACTCAATGAAACTCTGACAGAATGTCTGTGTCCTGTAAACTCAGGAACATGGTGATATTTTATTTTGTCTCCGTCACGGTAGAATGAAAGCTTCTCAGGTTTGTCCTGGCCCTTCTACAGTCTGTGGCCATGTTCCTAACCAACAGGCTCGATCCCCAGCCCCGGTCGGGGCTCGTGAGGGAGGCAACCAGTCGATGTGTCTCTCTCACATTGATGTTTCTCTTTCTCTCTCTCTCCCTCTCTCTCCCCCTCTTCCACTTTCTCTGAAGAGCAATGGAAAAAATGTCCTTGAATGAGGATTAAAAAAAAAAAAAAAAAAAAAGAATAAATCCCACCAAAGAGGAGTTTGCATTCAATTAAGACCCCACTGTGTTTGGGCAACAACAGAATACCTGCATTAAAAATATAAAAGCAAGCAAATAAACAGCTTACAAAAAATGACTTTGATTTTAGGTTATCATAGCAATACAGGCTTGTTGAAAAAAAAAACAATTGAGAAATTGAGAAACTTAAAGTAATTATGGCTCCCTTTCTGGTCATAAAACACACCAAACGATATGCTTTGCTTTTGAGTGTTTACTTAAAAGGTGTTATGTTCTCTGTTCTTATTTCAAAAATGAAACAACCACAACTTTTCATATTGCTCACACATACACAAAAGAAATATACAAGGAAGTTGTTTTGTCTTTCAACGTAGTTCTCAGATTGCTTTTTCTTGAGAGTCTGTGCATTTTAAAAAATTTTTAGAAAGGAAATTTATTAAAGAATGGCCCAAGAATTGGAAATGACCTTACCATCTATCAGTAGTAGAATGGATAAACACACTGTAGATAGTTTTATAATACTACCATACTTTAAAACTGTGCAGAAATTAAAGTGAATGAACTAGATCAATGTACTGTATCAATGAACTGTATCAATGTGGATCAACCTCAAAACAATGTTAACTATAAAAATGTTGCAAGAGTTTAGGAACAGTGGGATACTATTTAGTACACACACACACAGACACAAGCACAAAATATTACTATGTTGAATCTAGATATGAACATATGTAATAAAAGTAAAAAATATGATAAGAATAAACAACAACTTCAATATAGGGTTAACTCGGGGGACAAAAGGGAAAGGATGGTGAAGAGCTGGAGCTTTAGCTGAAGCACTAAAAAAAAAAAAAAAAGCTCTGCAGCACATATGGCAACAGATTAACGTCTGTTAATTCCTGGTGGTGCTTTATGGATACAGTTATTACTTTCTATATATTATAAAGTGGATAATGATGATGATGGTGATGAATAGAGAAATGAAAACCTTTCCTGGTGTTGACTGTTAAGAGAACATTGAATCATCTTTATGTCTTTTTCTACTAAAAGATAAGTTTCTGGATGCAATATACAATATGCATATTATATGTTTCTATATTATAATATGTATATTATATATTTCACAGATGCCTTTTTTCTAGTTTGAATCATTTTAATATTTAAAAACAAAAAGTGAATGCTGATTTTTTTCTATCATTTTTATTTATTTATTTTTAACACACATATACAGGTCTAACAGCCAAAATGCACAGAGGAAATGAGCTCTTGCTCTGTCTCCCCAGTCCCACCCTGTGGTTGACACCGCTGTGGGCCCTCCCTCATCCTCTCCAACACACTGTGGATGCTATACCCTATTGTTGTAATGCGTTTGCTCAGTTTCACATTGTGTGCATGTCCCTCCCCAACATCTACATTCCAAAATAGAAACCAAAGAGTTGTCAATGGTCAGGGTATCTCTCCCACTGGCATTAATTCCCACTCTGCAATGGGAGAGTGAGGGGGATCTTCCGGTTAGGAGCAAGTTAGTGCAGAAGACATAGGTCAGGGGAGTGCACAAGGCACAGATGAGGTTGGGATTCTCTCTGTGAGATAAAGTAGGGAGAATTCTCACCAAGTTTAAATAGATCAATGTGTTAAAATTTAAAATAAAAACAGAAGTAACCCAAATAATCAGCAATTCAAACACTACTAAATTTCAAAAATTTCCCACTGAGCTCAATATGGCAGTAACACTCTAGATCTTTCCAGGAAGTGGAGGTCAAGCTCCATCATTCTTCCTGACAACCCTGGGTTGGATCCTAGAATGATCCTAAGATGCTGCCGTGACTGCATTTGCAGCTGTTGAGTCTGGAAGACACCGGGAAGAGCCAGGGGCCTAAAGGAAGTGGCCTTAATCCTTAGGGCTACCCTGGACAACCTGTACATCTTTTGAGCCAGTTATAACAGACAAAAAAGGGGCCACATACTATACTTGACAAGCTCAGGGGAGGCCTGCATGGTGAGCCTTAAAAACTCAGACCGAAAGGAACCGCATGGATGGTGTGAACGTTAAAATCCCTAACGAAAAGAGGGTCACGGCGGGTAGTCACATCCTAGGCCTGTAGCCTCCTTGACAAAGGTCTGTCTTTACCTTCAGTGAGCATGTTTCCGGTCTTTTTGCATCTAAGATAACATACCTTTGAAATGTTAGACTCCGCCTTTTCCAGACCTTTCAGAGCACACCCACTGCACAGACCAAGAGATCACAGAACCCGTTTTCCTGTGCCCCAAATGCCATCTAGATATGCTGTATGTGTCTCTCCACTCTGCTTTTTATCCAGTCCCAGGGATTTCCCCACTTTGCTCCCCCCCCTCAGCCCACCCCCAGCAGCCTCCTGATTCTCATGCATATGCTAAGTTACAAACCTGCCCCTCGCCAGGGCTTTTCTCAACCCACTGAGGCTTGGCTTCCAGCCAGTTGTCATCAGTTTGACTCAAGTAAACTCAGGAAGTTCTCTACAGGTTTAGACATTTCTTACCTCCGCACACTACTGTTGATGAGCTGTCAGAGGAACTTAGCTCTCGTTGATATCCATGAGCCTGTGGTGAATTTATGGTCCGCTTTGTGTGTTCTTTGGGTGAGGTACTGTGACTTTTGATTGTATTACTATCATTCAGTTTTATTATTAGATTGATACGCTACCCATCGATCTAAGTTTTCTTTCTGCAGTTAACTGGCTCCAGTTATGTAAACACACTTCTTTCAAGCGTGTTTAAGGACCCAGAGACTCTTATCTGGTCGGAGGCAGACACTAGCTACCTCCACGTGCAGACTGGGATGGAGCAGAGCGGGGAGGCGCCCAGGTTCA